TGAACACTGATCTCCTGAAAGAATGTGACTGCAAGATTTCAGTCAAAAAGAAGAGAAACTGCAGTTATCTGTACCTGAAAACAACACAGAAGAATCACCTCTACAGACACGTGCAGACAGTAACGCACAAAAACTTATCCAGAATTCCAATTGGTAGTACAAATGTTACACTGTGGGCAGAAAGCGCAAGCAGGAAGCTCATCATGAGTCTGACGTCTCTTAGTGCCGCTGAAACTCAATGTCCTGTGTGGGACTATTTTGGGTTACAATACAATAATGACAATTGGGTAATTAGTGTAGCTCATTCGCCTTATTTGGTGTCCATGTGTCAATGCGTGTATAACTGTAAACTCATGTTTTCTCGAGAAAGCTATACAAGATGGTTATGTATGATAAATCAGGCTGAATTCTCATGTTCTGTAAACTCGGCTGACCCAAAGGGAATTGACCAATCTTTGTGCTTAACCTTGGAATCTTCGCATTACTCTCACTGAGTTTAGATATTTGGTCTCATTGTGGAAAATAAATTAATGAGCCACCAGATATAGTTTCATCCATTGATTAGTTGGGGATTTCCTACTTAGTGAACCACTTCATTTGGTTTTGTAAGAGATTTAAGCTCTTAGATGATACTAAGTGTTAATGGTTCAGTCTCGGTCCACTGGTAGCGAGTGGGGATACATCTAGTTGACGGGTCTCAAAGAAATACGCTCCACCTTCTTCACTCTTATAAATAATTCGGCAACGCTACTTATTTCATCCCTGCCATTGTGATTTGGTGGCACAGCAGTCAGGACGACGACAAGTTTCAATCACCGCTTCAGATTCATTTTATATCAATGGTTGACCTGTGGAATTTAGGCTACCGATAGATAACTCGTGCTGAAAGGCTATAGTTGTACCAACATATTGTAGAGAATCATGCTTTAATCAAAAAGCACGTCTAAGCGCATATTTTCTGGTTCTAGAGGATGAGCGAAACCAAATATTATTTAGGAGTGTCCCACTTAAACTTGATTTTAAACATATAGGAATGCTTCGATGTATTGATTCGACTGTCATTTGTATTAACGAAGCAGTTTGTTCAATCTGCTATAACATAACGTGGAACTGATTGACCTGGAGTTAGGATAGCTGTTGAAGTGTGTTGATTTCCTGAAGACATTACTGTCAAGAATGACAAGTGTTCTGCCTAGCTTCATTTTCAAATCGAAGAAAGCCAAGTTCTCGTTGCTCATTTTATAAGTCTTCATCTAGCTTGGCAATCACACTTCAATCCTGACTATTAGCACCAAATCCAAGGATCAGACATAAGACATTGGTTACTCTGAAGTGATGAATCCAGCGATGACATACATTTTCCAGAAATTCAAATACCTTTGAGTTGAGAATAGAGCAGGAGCGAGTTGATTGCATATTTCACTTTTTGGAAAATGAGCCAACTCTGTATTGTTTCCATTAAAGATTGACAGACACCTAACTTCTCTTCAGAGATAGGCTTCAGAAATCTCAGACAGCTAAGAAATCCCTCCTTATAATCACCGTTTAATCGAAATCTCCCATCCTTAGAATAAGGTGGCTCTCACTTCCTAGATTACCACCTGATCGTTAATTTCTCTCATTAAAAGACATTTGTATTCGTCCAGCAAACAACCAGTAATTGTATAAATGTGTGGTTCCATCTTACAGGGTGATGAGAACACAGTCATTCATGTTTGGGAAAGCATCGCTTGGAAAGGATTTACCAAAGAGGCTACGGAAAAAAAGTTCAACGTCATAGTTACTGGTGATTGGAATTTAAATAATCTACATAACGAATATGAATGGACAAAATACTACGAACAAGATATCAGAGAATTTGGAGGTTAGTTGATTTACAGTATGGTTTGACAGGGATAGTGTCATTAGCCAAATTTATGTGTTGACATTATCTGTTGGATCTGCATAATGTGGAGCTTATTCGTCATTTACCAGTGTGAATCGGTTGGTCATATGAAACTACACAGTGTGCGGTCATATAGGTAATAACTCAGTATTCTGACGTTTATTAATTCAAAAAGAATAGAGAGAATATGTAGGTCAGTTGGATGCCTTTATTGTTGTTGCATTATGTGAGCTGTGTGACTGAATTGCAGATTCATTAACACTGAACAAGCACATTCTCAAATGCGATCGTTCAGTATTGAATCTAGATCTGATGAAGTATGCATGCGCCTCCATGATGAATATGTCGCAGACAGATTCCTGCCTCACATTCAACAAAAAATGTCTACCTGAGAAGGAGTGCTTGAAATTGAGTTAGATGAATAGAAAGATGATCTGAATTCCATGGCGTGAGAATCAAAATACTCCTGAATAATTAGCACTTTGTAACTTCATGCCTATCGGAAGAACTAAAGATTCTTTTTGCTGACTGCATCAGAGTTCTAAACCGATTTCAGAGTTTTCATCATGAACTGATATTGGATATAGAACCACTGGAAAACCTGGGAGTAGTGCACAGCTGTTTTGTCCTAGTTTAGGACTCTCCATCAGTATGCACCCACAAGGCTCGTAGACTATTAAGCCACTGGGACCCGATCCGATTGCCGATGAAGTCTAACGAATATCAGCTAATGATGAAATCCTGTAACCAATCAAATCCCTACAAACTAATAACTGAATATCGATTTCAGAGTGGTGAAGGTCTGTCTGGCCTTTCTTACGCTTCGAATATAGCGCACCCTCCATTATTTATTTACCTAACATTTTCTAAATCAAAACTCATTGTCTAACTTTATCAGTAGTGCCGACACATCAAACCTGAAAATATAAGACCATTCGAATTCCAAATGTTTCGTCCACCAGTGAACTCGGCACACCTGAATTTGAAAATTACACTAATCCTCATTCAGTCTATAAGCTTTCTACGATGACAATAATAATAATTGTCATGTCTTTTACAGGCACAGACGAGGAGGCATCATTAGTCATTGGTGGTGAAGCTACACTGTGGGGCACACGTGTGGATGAGACCGATGTTATCACTCTGGCATGGTAAGTATATTTTGTAAATCATTCATAGAACTTTTGGTGTTAACATATTTCGACTATTTAAGAAAATGGTGTGAGTTGAGTCACGTGGATATGAACCAAGTGCACATAGGGATTTTCAGAGTCGACAAGATAACTTAGTGAAAATGACCGTTCAAGCAGAAAAGGGAAAACCAGCCGAACGCTGAGTCATTTCTAGAATATGCGTCTTCAATAAAATCACTTCAGGTTCAGATGAAAGAGGATGAAAAGATCGACGAGGCCAACTGTTAGCCGATCATCTCACAAATATCATAAATTTCCTACATTGATTCCCTTTTATCAATCTGAACAAGGAAAGAAGAAACATTGGCGCAGAATAATCTGGATCCCTTTTATTTCGTCGGTTCTCTTCAACTGTGTACAACATAAATTCTTGAACAAAATAAAAAGTATACAATTTTCCCAAACTTTTGTGCACTAGCCAGCATATTGTCAAAGCGTCATAGTGAAATAAGGCGTTGACATTTACAAGGTGTCTAAAGTGTCAGGACATACATATATATCCTCTTAGCGAGGGGTTTCTTGAAAATTTTATCCAACTGTTGTGTTGTTGTGGTGGTAACAAGAGAAAGTTAGTAATGGTTACGTAATTAGATAAGAAAAGATCAAAATGTCGGTACAATTGAGGTCAGATGAGAAGTTGATGATGTAATACAATGAGCGGAACTCAGAGGATCAAGGAAAATTATCTCTTAAAAGAGCTAAGTGAAAAATAAAGGGGGGATCGAAAAGATAAGATAACGAAATTAGAAAACAAAGAGTTACTAAGAAGTGTGTCACCAGGGTAGTTGAAGTCCAAAAAGCGGATTCTTTTTGAACATATAAGTCAGGCTTCACCAAACCCGAGACGACTTGAGGTGCTTGTCTGTTAATTATTTTGAGTGATTCTAGCACATTTACTCGTTGTCCTATGTCAATCAGGTGTTTGGCGATAGAAGAGCCTAAACAACTCTATCTCTTCAACCACAGGCTCCTTGATATACGTTCGCAGAATCTGAAGTAGGCCTTCCTCTCGGTTCTCCCAATGTAACTGCTCCCGCAGATACATGTGAATTGGTATACACAGTTGAATGTAACATGTGAGGGTTACTTGTCAAACTTTGACTGCGACAGTGAGGAGGTTGTTCGGGGTAGAGAGACTAATAATGCTGCAGGATACGTCCTAGACAGGGCTGCACTTAATCTTGTATTTACCATTCCCATAATGTCGTCGCTCTTGTTGTCGAGTTTGATGAAAATAGGCTTCTTACTGCCGTAGCTGTATGAAGCTTCTCAAGTTCATTCTTGCCATATTTGTTAATGAAACTTTGTGGGTAACCATTTGCTTTCAAGCATTTTTCAAGGAGCATAAGTTCACTATCTAGTTTCCTTGGTGAATATGTTCTCCTCGCTCTAGAGAAAAGCGTTTTCACCAGCGTTCGTTTGTATCTAACTGGTCAGAAGCTGTTGAAATTCAAGTAAAAGCCACTCCGTGTGTCTTTACGATACACAGATTTTTCGAGTGTATTGTCGTATTTTCTCTCCAACTTTACAACCAAAAAATGGAATTTTTCATCTTCTTCATGTTCCATCGTGAAAGTGATGCTTTTGTGTACATTGTTGAAGGAGTCTAATAGAGACGAAGCGTGACTCAAATCATTGCATACAATGAATGTGTCATCAACGTATCCGTAGTAGGCTTTTGTTTTTCCGATTGCACACTTGAGCTTTGTCTGTTCCAGACTGGCCATAAAAATATCAGCTAATATCGGACACAGTGGACTGGCCATTCCCAGTCCATCAGCCTGGCGATACATTTTGTCGTCAAACTGGAATTGTAGATCATTAGTACATAAAACAAGAAGCTGCTCAAATTCCAGTTCTGCTGAGGACGAAGATCAGAGTGTTGACAGGTGATGCCTGATATCTCATGCAGGGGGTTCTGCGTGAATAGCGAAGTCACATCGTAGGAAATCATGAATTTGTCATGTACATTGAGGTGAATCACCTCTTCAACAAATTGGAACGAGTCTTTTGGAGTATGTTTAGCTAGACGTTCTCTGACAGGTTCTAACCTATCGGCTGGGCGATTCTTTTTATGTATCTTCGGCAGACCATACATATGTGGTAGACGAGACCCTGTGGGTTTTAACTCATGGTACGTATGGTTATCAATCATTTTCTTTTTCAATAGCTCTTTGAGTACTATCGTGACTTGCTTTCCTGCCGAATCCATCATATCCTCTTTTCAGTTAGCAATCTTAAATTTCGACGTGTCATTCAGAATGGACTCCATTTTTCAGATATATTATTTATTCAACCAGTTAACCGTTAGTGAAGGTAGAAAAGGGTTGGCTTTTTCAAGAAACTTCTCTCTGACAAGATATATATATATATATCTCGTAACAGTTTTGATGCCTTGTAAATGTCAACGCCTTATTTCACTATGACGCTTTGACAATATGCTTGCTAATGGACAAAAGTTTGGGAAAATTGTATACTTTTTATTTTGTTCAAGAATTTATGTTGTACGCAGCTGAAGAGAACCGACGAAATAAAAGGGATCCAGATTATTCTGCGCCAATGTTTCTCTCTCATTTTTCGAATATCATAAGGATCAACTGTGATTTTTGGTACTGGTATGACTTTCTTCAACCTCTCGTATATTTTATCAGTCACTATTTTTGAATGTTAACCGCTGGGTTGAGGGTGGCGTTTCTGAGCCTTACATCTATTCATCAACGAATGACACAGCTGGTCATAAACTGAGTGATACGCCTTCGTATATGCTACACAGGCGAGACTCATACAAGAAATGATACAGTTAGACATCCAGTTTATGACAGACCGATTTTTGAGGAGCCTGACTAAAACATTTGGTATGACTTTATTTTTCTTGCTTTATTTACTACAACAAAGTATTTTCTCTCACCTCTGTGACATACATATGCAGGCCCAGAGGTGCAGCTGTAGCTGAAAGACTCTGGTCGAAAAACCCTGAGACAATTGAAGAATTCTCACAACGAATTGGTGAGCTTCGATGCAGAATGCTCTAGTGAGTCCTTGTATTTTTATATTCATGTGTAATACGTTGAAGTAGAAGGAGGTAAATAGACATTTCATGCATATTCAGAAGTTATGCGGTGATTTGTTTTTGCCATGGCCTTTTTTCAAAAATACTCATCTTTAATTTGATCCACTTCTTTCACTGTTGAGTCGCATTTTTCATCGTATCTTGACGCCGCGGGTAGGTATGTGATGTCCGTTTTGTTTCCAACGAAGAATCTTATCTTATCTAATTTTTGTTGCATATAATATTAGCACAAGCACGGAAATGAGAAGATTTAACCAGCCGCGGTTATTTGAATGTAGCATGGTTAAGTCGAATTCATAATTCAAAGATTTGTTTGATGAGTTCATCGGAAAGCGACGTCCACTAAAACGACTCTACCGCCTGTGATGTATTAAAAATCTCAGAGCTCTTAAATGCACATGATGAATGTTAGTAAGGTGCTAGTGAAGGCTGTAATTTAACCCAAACGATTAATTTGCAGGTTCTGTGTCTGAAATTGTCAGCAAATCACCTAACTGGATAAATAATAATTTGATGACAAAACACGTGGTTCAGCAAAGAGGCTCTTTTCGGTGAAATCATTCTCCAGGTTAGCTGTAAAATCGCATTAATATACATTTCTTCTCATTGGACTGTAGCAACGAAAGTGATGAGCTGTCACAAAAGTAGTTGTCGATATTTGTCAATGCGTATGAGGAGTTGAATAAACGTATAGGATTTACGTAATAAGATACGTAATCTAGTTAGGATGCACATAGAAGAGAAGGAAAATGCCGGGTTTCGTAAGAGTTCCGAGGGCATACGAGAGTTATAAATGGTTAGAAAATCAAACAAACTAAAATCAAGTGAGTAGAAATCAACACGGTTGTTGCCATAATAGTACGTATGATTGAATAATTTCTTTTTGTATATATAGCACCAGCCTCCCTAAGTGAATGGCTAAGGCTGCAGCAAGGAGAAAACGGCGTTTTGCCTTCGATAGGTTGTTCTTCACTTCGTAAATTACATTGAAGGAGGCATTTGTTGAGATGCAACGGTCGGTGCTCGATAGATATTGGAATTTCGTTCTCCTTAAGGAAGAACTACTACATTCCTGCAACCATATGCGGGATAGTTCTCTTCAACCTTTTCAGGCAGGATATGCGTCAAACAGCCAATGTATGTGGCTCAAAAGAGCAGATGAACTGATGTATGCACACAGAACACAACAATTTAACGAAGAGCATTTAAATGTTTATACGCATTATCTATGTCTACCAATACTAGTTATTCGATGCGTGAAAAAACAAAGCTGATTGTAATTTTTTGTAATTGTTTTACGATTTATTTTAGTAACAACATAGAAGCTCATCCAGTCAACGGTCCAGGTTTCTGCCCAACTAAAATTATAAGAACATGAACAAACTGGAGACAGTGAATGAAGATTGCTGCTTGCCTTTTTGTGCATCGGAATTTTATTGATTTCCATTTTATTTAAATGAAATTTCTAAATATTTTCAATATCCACTGAATACACTTTTCTGAAAGAAGTAACTTTTGTCTGTCTGAGTGAGTGCAGGCTGTGCGAGTTTGCGTTTTACATTAAAATGAACCTTAGCTCAGCACACTGTTTGTTAGTCGGCGTTGTATGAACGATTATCAATGGTCAATGTATTCCATTTCTAACTCACAGCTTCACTGTCATAACTTCACTTGGTTTCCCATCATCACTTCTAGTTGGTTCAACCCCTGACAAAAAGCTTTTATTTTCCCCTCCTTTGTTCTTATCCGCGTAATCATTGGATGCCTAAATGGTCAACCGTCGTCTAACTACTACAAGAGAGCAATGGCCTCAGACGCCAATTAGAGCCATCTTCAGCTCATACTCATGCCACTTATATTTCCTTCCGAATGTTCGTCGAGCGTCATGCTGTTGGCTGGTTTGCTGTAACAGTTACTTCATACTTATTCTTTCTGACGGGCCATCTGATCTTAGGTGTAGAACGGAGGCAGTTGTTGATGAAAATCTCCATAGTGCTGGAAATGCTTTTTCTGGAACATGCTTCAAGTCCCTGAACTATATGTCAGCACTGGCTCAACGTTTGTGTTAGGAATTCGAATGTTCTTCTAATTATGCGTGGTACCGATACTTACGCCGATCTGAGTGATGAATTTCTCTTTCGCCTCCCCGACTCGCTCCTTTGTGGCCTCATCCATGCCATCCATAGACGAAATGATGCTCATTGAGTAAGATAATTGAAAGAGGAATGTCTCTTTAGATTGCTGTAGCTGATGCTGGTTAGCTTTTTGGCCAGGTGTCTTCACCACCACCTTATTTTCAACGACAATCACTTAAACGTCGTGTATTGGCCCAGGCACATGATTGATGCAGTCTTCGTTTGTTGACTTAATTTCATGTTATCCATATTTCTTAAACAAACGTGTTAACATAAGCAGCTTTAGATTATTTAGATTCACTCGGTGTAAATGTTTGACGGAGAATGACAGTCAATCTCGATAAATTAGTTGCTTTGAGACAGCTGGAATTCAACTAACTGAAAACAGATTGCCTGAAAAAACAGTTTGGAAATTAAAGCCATGAGATTTTTGCCTCACTGAAATGAACCATCGCTCAGTGAAATGTGGACAGGTATTCGTCTACAGTACAATTGCGTGGCATTATTTCATATTGGTTTGGGTGCGTGTGATCTCTATATTGAGTGTCTTCAAACTATGAAACTTGTTAGTACTGATAGGGGAGAATCCTGAATATGACTTTGTCCGTTTGTGCAGAAAGCACTTTCTGAACATGAGTGTGTGCATGTGTGGCTGTTATGAAGCTAATTTGTATTACATACTTCGGCTCTGATATAACAGGAGATATTTCGAGTGCCACATACGTGTGAGTACACATCAACCTCTTATTGCACGATTTAGTTTCATATGACACATATAGAATGCTAATATGTTGGTGTGACATAATCCCTTACAACAGTTGTTTTGGGATTTCCCTATAGCATGATTTTGTGTAAACTAATTGGTTCATGTGAACTAGAATGTAGTTTCTCAAAATGTCTATTGCCATTTCAAAGGCTGAGAATAATTTCTTTATCGTCTCCAACACACTCGAGTGTCATAAAATTCGCGAAGAACTTTAGCGGGACCAAGTAATCACTTGGATTAACACATACAGTTTCAAAGTCATGTAATACATCGCAAAGCTCCGTGTATTTTTCTAGAAATTTGAATATCTTTCCTCCTCACAGTGTCCGTAAGATTTTTCCCACAACTAATACGTAAAGATACTTTTGTATTTCCTACACGACAAGAGCACTGAAGTTACTGAAGAACGATTTCGATGTTCTTGAATTTATCTAACTGTAGCCCCAAGAAGGTAGTCATATTTTACTGAGGTGCTACTGAACTCCAATAATGCTCAAAACTTATTTTAACGATTATCGCAAATTTACATAACCCTTTCAAGATTGCTTACAAACCGGTTCCGCCGTTATTGTGCTAACTCACTGACAGTGGCGCTGAGATATGCAACACATCAGTGAAAGAAACCAACTGGATGACGTTGTCATTATTAGCCTCATCTAAGTGTTTGTACATTAAATATACCACCGTAGACTTCGTTGATTCCTTGTAGTAATAATATAAGTCTTCAAAAAGACGACCATTATTGAGTAGAAATACGTGTGAAGGGAAATGTCTTTGAATAGAAACGCAGTCATGCCATTAATTGTCTAACCATTCTAACACGTATCATTACAATCTGACAAAACACTTTTCATAACAAATAGCCAGTCAAAACTTTTTATTTAACACGAGAATATAAATACGAGTTCAATGATTAAGGTGTAATTTATTAAGTGATTAAACTGAAACTACACAAATTAGAATACAAAGTGCGTCTTGGTATCATTCCCCCCTGTCTGTCTCTCATTGATGTTTGTCTCAATGTACACTCATATTTCAGTAGAAAAACAACTAATACGACTATTTGTTTTCGAGATGAAACACATTTTTTCAGCCTACTTGAAATTTGTACATGAATAGTCACTTCAATAAATAATAAAGTAAGATAGATTAATAACTAATACCACATGTTTTTTCGTTATATTTTTCACAAAACTATCGTTTCAAAATAAGCTGTTTCGATTGATTTAGCTTAAATCGCAATGTGGCCCCGAATCCACAGAAACCAAGTGGATTCATCGGATTGATAGACTAGAGAATTCGGATATTTCGGTCTCAAATTCTGAATAAATACACTGAATACGCATTGACAACTTCATTATTTTCATCGTGGTCCTCTTTTATTTTACTCACAAGTTTCAGTATGATTTCAAAAAAACCATTTCTCATTGCTATGCGGTGAGTTATGTAGATGAATGCCTCACGAGAGCTTTTGAACTAGGAGGATTCTAGGGAATGGTGAGGGCTTACACTGACGACTTTCGAAATTGAATAGATCGAACACTCGCGAAAGTGTTAACTGCTGGTTACCTTCACTGAAGTGATATTAAAACATTCTTCAAGAGATGATACATGCTAGTTTGCTAGGAATAACGCATCAATGTGGCTTTAACTCAACACGAATTTTCTAACTCGGAATTCCGGTGACAACTCATATGAGAGGATGTTCTTGGACACAAATATGAAGAGATCATGAACCAACAGATGAGACCAGCATATCAGCTTAAAGTGAGTTATCGGGAGATAGAAGTTGAACCAAGTGTAGAGATTGACTAACCCCAGGAGAATAATTAATTCTGAGGAAATCTTGTTAATCAATGCGCACTCACTAACGCATAGCCATACACATTAGGGTGAGCCAGTGCAACATTTTAAAATGGATCATTTTCAGGTGATCTATTACATCCAGTACATGCAATGTGAGTAACGTAGTGGCAGTATCCGATATGTGGAAAAGTCTTACTTCCAGGGTAATCCGAAGCCTGGGAAGGATGGAAAGCCTTTATCTTATAATGAGCACTGAAATGTGATGAGAACGTCATCAGTAAATAATAATGCATCACTGTGTATTTCATGAAATCAAATTACCTGATTATGAAGTTATAAGTCTACCACAGCGCGAAAATTCTTTCCTTGTTGAAGTCACCTCGTTCATCTTACATAATCGTCTTTACTGTTCACCCTTATTCTTTCCTGGATTGCTTAAAAACGACTATGTCATACTTTGTAGAACTCTGAAGACTGTCAGTCAGTTTTGTCACACTGTGAGCAACCACTTTACCTGCAGGTTTCACCTTGTTTCTCCCCAGGTAAAACAAGAAGTCTTTTCAGAAGACTTTATGCATGTACGTCTAAATATAAAAATTCCACTATACCATATTTGGCGGCACGTATTTTATGTCATGAAAATAGTGTTAGGCATGAACTAACCAACCTTCTTTGCACTACTAAATTAACCTTTTCCTCCACCCTTACAACATCAACAATTATTGTTATTATACTTCTGATATTTACAATCCTCTCAATTTTTTGTTTTTATTTGTTTACTTTTTCACAAGTGTGAACATCATTTAAGCTGTGTTATAACTGTTACTTTTTGTCTTTCCCCTCACCATGCTTTATCAAGAGAACATTAGATTCAATAATCTATAACATGCTGAAATTTTCAAACTAAACTGACAATACTGTTTGAAACAAACTCACTGCTTTATTATTATGTCTATTATTCTCATTTTTAGTTCGAATATTTTTGACTTCATACCGTCATTATAGACAAATTCCTCTGGTTAATGTTGTTAATAATTTTATTTATATTTTAAGAAAATTAGATGCAACATTGTGACAAATGCTGATAATTCCATTAGGTATTGTACTGTTTTTGGAATAAAGTAGATTATTGTTATTTCGAAAATACGTCTGCAGAGTATCTCACATATAACTCACTGACAACAAAATAAATGTTTTACGCATAGAGCTCGTAGAATGGATTACAGATGCCTACCGTCTATCACGGTACGTAAACACCACTCATTATCAATTGACTCTTCATTCACCCGAAGCCTTGTCAAAACACTTCTTCAAATAATAATATGCACTAAAACGTTTCACTGAAATCATTACAGCAAGAAGTAAGGTATAAATGCATGCATTTTCGAAAAGACTTCTCTGTGGATGATCAGTCTGCATGAGTAAGTGACTAATTGCGTTCAACCTTGTTATGCAGGCGAAGCACCTAAATTCCAGATTGGAACAAATGACTTACAACACTATACAGGTCGTAAAATCGAGACGGAAGTTACATGGGAATCTGCAACCTCCTCATCTTCGTGTGACTAGAAACCTTAACGCTTGGCCCTCTGACGTGACAAACTCGTTGGAAAAATGTTCTGGAGCAGGAGATATCGGATACCAGTGTCTCCAACAGCAGATAGCATTTTGGAGTATACTGTTCTTCATTTGAAATCTGGGGCATAAACATACTCTTCGCTAGAAGTACTTAGTGACTGTTTATGTACCGAAATTTGGGCCGCCACACGCTTCACTTTCAGACTTGGACTGATCCCGTAGTTTTAATGTGAATCGGAAATGGAAGACACACATG